CACAGGTGGACAGTTTTTTTAATCTGCTGTCCGTACTGGTGACAGAGCACTTATGGTTTATAACCGTGTGCAATGACGCTGGTTCACTCCTCCCGACTTTACCTTTAAATACCATCCTCCTGGTATAGAAAGGAAGCTTTAAAAAGTGTGAGAAGTATATGCCAAAAAGTCAAAATTGCTTGTGCTTCTCATACCTCTATGGGATGACTTAATAATGCCCAGTAGGTTAGGTGGGCACCCAATATTCTCGAGCATGCTTAACAGATATTTACGACTAACCAGATCAAATGCCTTGGTGAGATCAGTTGAGTTGAGTTAAGAATTGACATCACAGCACTCAGGGCATTCCCATGTGTGCTCCTTTCTGATCTTCAGCAGCCAGTGCAGAGTTCCAGTACTGATGGTAATGGTCACAGTCTGGTTTATTAAGATCAGTAAAAGTTATTTACAGTGCTGGATTTTGTTCACAGCATTTTTCTTGCGTTTGTTGTAAAGAAATTATCATATCATTTATAAATAGTTCTCACAAAGACATATGTGACTCTGGGTAAAACAGGAGTCTTCACAGAATAATTCTGACAAGCACTTCTCCAATAGTTCATCACAGGGGTTTTTTCCTGTAGTTATTACAGTCACTGCAATTGTCTTTGTTTTTTTAAAGGTATGATGCTTCTTGAATCTCTGAAGTCTAGTGGAAACTGCCCCTCACACATGCAGAGTGTTATTAGCCGATGAATGTGTGAGGTTAGTATGTCTTTCCCACTCCTTATGATCTAAACATAAATTTCACTTCTGCATGTGGCCTTTCCTGAAGCAAGTTCACCAATAGCATGACTAACTTCTAAACTTGTTGCAAATTAGTGATCAGTAAGGATTACCATCACAGCCTTCCATATAGATCCATAAGTGCTCTGATCTCCTCTTCAGAAGCTCTACAAATGTAAAATGACTGATGATGCCTGTTCTGTTGTTGTTAATGAAACCTCTGGTCCCCTTAGTGAAATGATTATTTCTTGCAGCTCCAGACTGCACCCCCCATGTCCATCAGCCTAGAAGACAGGAATAAGAAGTCATGTCTTTTAACATGCTCATGGTCACGGTAAGTGCTGCACGTGGCATTGATAACATTGCTTCTGTCCAGTACTGAACCAGCCATAGCAACCACAGTGTCAGCAAGATAATCTTGTTGGAAATGTGTCCAGGTAGTCAAGAATAGGTAGTGAATACTTACCCCCCCCCTCTTCCTTCCCCCCAAAAAAAAGCCAAATGAAGTCAGACATTAGGAATGTTTGTTTAATCAAATGCTTAAGTTTGAACTGATACAAACAAATAACAGATAACAGTGTCGTTATAAAATGCTTGCACTCCACTTTTAATAAATTCATAATTCCAGCTTACCCCTATCTACGAACATGTTACATAACTGATGTCTACAAATATGTTATATACCTCTTGTTTGCAAATATTTTATATAATTGCTTTCCACAAACATGTTACAAACCCACTGTCTACAAACAGGTGCCATACCTGCTGTCTACAAACATGTTATAATACCTACTGAACACAAACATGTTACAAACCCAATGTCTAAAACAAGTACCAAACCTGCTCTCCACAAACATATATTATATATCTAAGTACAAATAACTGTAAACAAATGCTTAATTTTACACATGCACGTACGCACTCACAAACACACCGAGAAAGAGAGAGAGAGAGAGTAAACATTCAGTCTATGGTATAAACTTTTATATTAATTCACTGAAATTATAATAGAGCAAGAAGAAAGTTATGCCATCAAAATAAATAATAATGAGATATAAAAGGGAAAAATAAATACTGAATTTCCTATTAAGAATTGAGAAAATGCAGTACTGCTGTATACCTTATCAAAATATGTAACCTGGCATGGGCCATCATGTCGCTGCAAAAACATGACTCTCAAATTATCATCTTGTTGTGCAGTTGGTACCTGATATAAGGCTCATGGTCTGTTCAACCTTTCTGTTCTTTTTTTGTTGTTGTTCTTGGCGTTCACTGGTTGCAGACTCCAGCAGAAAGTTCTGCTAGTTCTGGCCTGGACCTTGGTCTTGATCCAGAACTTGAGTCTTTCATGCACATTCATGTTACTGATCTTGCTTATTTATATGCAGACTGTTGGTTCCTTGACTCTCAGGCAGATGCACTGACTTTGAAAGAAATCACCCCTAATTAGTCACCTCCTATGACTGGCTTGTTAGTAGGGCAGTAGTCTTCTTCTTCTTCTTCACATTCACTGGCTGTAAACTCAGGCAGAAAGTTCTGGTTGTTTTTCCACCTTTGGACTTTAGTCTTGTTACAGAAGCTGAGTGCTGCATACACATCCGTTCAACAGATCTGACATAACTGTATGCAGATTGTTGGTTCCTTGCCTTTCAGGCAGATGCATTCCGACTTCGAAGGAAGATCCTCATTTTGGAAGAAAAAAGAACAGACCTACTGGCCCCAACAAGCATGTTATAAAAGGCATATAATTAATTTATTGGTGAAACTGGATAAGTAAAACCTAATGGCACAGTTATCACAGCCTTGCTGTAAACTACAACATATCGCAGCCAACTGCCCTTTTAAGTGTAAGTGCCAAAAATAAAAAAAGAAGAATTGTTCGTAAGATTATGGAAATCCTTCTGTCAGAGGCACACACACACAAATCCTTACCCACACAATTTATGATGATGTAAAAGATCTTTAAATATCACAGATAAGTAGTTCCCACAGATTTTCTTTTTTTCTCATTGACATCTGTGAAATAGGGGTTGTGAATGTAGTTTCACAATACTGGCATACACGGATTTATGAGTCAGAGGCAGGAGGTCTGTCAGCAAACTATTTTGTTCTGATTTTGGCAAGAATATTAGCACTGTATTGTTTACAAAATTTAAAATTGCCAAATAAGACACCATAACAGCTGATGCATGCTGGGGTTTACTTGCAACTACCTGAAAGGGCATACAATAAATAACTAAATATCTATAATTCACAGCCATTTGCAAAATTTAGATTTTCTATACCACACTTTAAAAGTTTCTTTTCAAAGTATAAATTAATATACAACACATAGATTGTCACAGTACAATGAATGTAAAGAGTATTACAAGTTTTGTACATTACAATTTTTTATGGAAATATAGCACAAGTTGAGCAAAGAGGAATGTACTAAAAACATGCACATGGGTAAACAACTTTCCCCAGATACAAATAAAAAAACCCACTAAAATAAATCAGATGGTCAAGCGTAACCAACAAAATTTGGAGCAAGAAAAAAAACCACATTACTTTGTGCGTGATTAAGTAGTGACAATCTAACATCTGTACAACTGTCTCTATAAATCCACCAAATAATATGTACATGTGACATAAAACATGACAAAATATCTGTACATATCTGTACATCCACACAGACTGACAATCTCCATACATCTGTACATCCACACAGAATGACAATCTCCATACATCTGTACATCCACACAGAATGACAATCTCCATACATCTGTACATCCACACAGAATGACAATCTCTATACATCTGTACATCCACACAGAATGACAATCTCCATACATCTGTACATCCACACAGAATGACAATCTCCATACATCTGTACATCCACACAGAATGACAATCTCCATACATCTGTACATCCACACAGAATGACAATCTCCATACATCTGTACATCCACACAGACTGACAATCTCCATACATCTGTACATCCACACAGAATGACAATCTCCATTCATCTGTACATCCACACAGAATGACAATCTCTATACATCTGTACATCTACACAGACTGACAATCTCCAGGAGACAATCTCTATACATCTGTACATCCACACAGAATGACAATCTCTATACATCTGTACATCCACACAGAATGACAATCTCTATACATCTGTACATCCACACAGAATGACAATCTCTATACATGAATGACAATCTACTGTGCTGTACATCCACAAGTGTTCCCATCCACACAGAATGACCCGAAGGCACTTGACAATCTTTAGTACAAAACAAGTGTAACCTGTTACACTGAAAACACAACTTGTTAATCTAGCCAATAATGTTTGCCTCTGAGAAGTTTTAACAACATTATAGGATGGACAGAGTTGAAGACAGAATTGGTTACAATAAGAAAAAGAAAGTTGTTATAACAACAAACAATTTTTCTTAAAGGAGACTGCCATTAAAAACATTTTTTAAAAGTTTATTCTATATGCAGCAACATAGATGGGGTTAAAGCAAGAGCTGATACTGAATGGGTTAAAGTTTGAAAACAAAGGATGCTTAACCACATATGGTGGTGTACCAAGACCAGAGTTCATAGTGGACAAGGCCTTTCTACACCTCACCATAGTCATCCCAGAAACAGGTTGCCTAGTTGAGGACTGGCCATAGTAGACAGGATCAATGCTTCCACTGAAGTGCAAATGCCTGAGAGGTAAGGAACCAACAGTCTGTACACAAATAAGCCAGACCTGTAACACGGACATGCACACAAAACTTCAGTCCTGGAACAAGACCATAGTTTGGAGACTTTCCTTGGAGTTCACAACTTGAACTTGAATGAAAAGAAGTAATAAACCTTAGATGGGTCGCAAGAAGTTGAGAAACATGTATCAGGTCAGCTGACATCAATAAATGTACGGTGGGTCTATTCTTTATTTTCCCCATAAATATTCCCAAAACCTGCATGAGCAAATCTATTTATCTCAGTCACTAACTCAGTTAGCCTGCCTGTCTATCTCTGCCTGGGTCTATTTTCTCAGTCAAACTCTTAATTCCTCATCAAAACTCCTTCATATCCTATCTTTAATCAAGAAACCCCTCCCCCCCCTTCCATTCTCGTTTGTCCATATTCTCGACCACTTGCCTCTCCTCCCATCTACACAGCATTTTCCTTTCTGAAATCTATTTATCTATTTCTTTATCTGCTTCCCCTCTACATGCACAGAGTATATCCTTTATCCCCGATTAGCCGAACGAGCAAAGTATTTCAAACACAACGACACACTGAAGTTAGGCACAACAATGAAACCAAATGACATGGGGCTGACAGTCACTGGTCCTCGGTGTGGTCTTGGATTTAGTGGGGGCAGAGTTGAATTAGATAGCAACAGCAGATCACCGTTGAGTCTAACATACCTGTAGATAAAAATATACACTTTTACACATTTTATTCCTGAGAAATAACAGAAAGAAATATAACTGTTCATGAGCTCTTTCAGTCGCAGTCAGTTAGCAATTTTCAACTCCTTTAATTCAAAACAGTTTCACTTCAAAATGTTGCGTAATCCTTTCTGGCTGCTATCTGAAGGCTTCTTCTTCGCATTCAATCATTGTAAACTTTGGCAGCTTATCTATAGGCAGACTTGGTTCTTTGTCTCTTGGGCAGATGCACTCTGACTTCAAAGGAAACACCCCTAATTAGTTACATTTTTATGTCATGCTTGCTGGAAAAGGGGGTGGAGAAGCAGTGGGTCCATTCTATTCTACCCCCTCCCCCTACATACAATGGGGCCCCAGAAGTCACATGAGGACCTTGAAGGTTTGACCACCATGAGATTACAAAAATCTTCATCTGGATGGCATACTAACAGGGCAAATAACAAAAACCATGTCCAACCTTCAAAGATGTTATAACTGGACCACCTGCTATGGTTACATTGGCCCTGGTGTAGCCTGCTGTTCTGGGTGGGTCAAGAGTTTGATTCTCTGATGACAGAAGTTTGAATGTTTCAGTCTGAGAAATTCAGCAATTAAATTAATTTGGATTGACACAATCGACTTCGCAGCCACATGTACACCAAATTTAAAATCGGCAAATAAGCCATGTGGACATGTGGATTGGCACCTGAGACAACAGATTATGTCCTCTAAGACTGTCCCAAATACAACATATAAGGGCAAAACTTTGGCCAAGAGAAACATTGTGCAAGTCAAACTTTATAGGTCGCTGAGTGAATTACAAAAAGACAGTGAAGTTCATACTAGAGACAACTTTACAGACATAGATAATTTATTTCAAGCGAACGAAAGAAGAAAAAGAAGAACATGGATTGAATGAGAGCTAATAATTAATATGGAATGTATCACTACTGTACACAGTTGTCTGTGAAAGAAGAAAGACAATGGACAATATATTATTTTTGCTAGTTAACAGACACAATGAGTTTTATTTAGTAGGAAAACAGTTAACTTTTCAATGCAGCCTAACTCACTGACACGACAGCAGCTGATTAGTCAGTTATCTCTCTTTCTCTGAAGAAAACATTATTTATGATTCATTCCATTCACCTGGTGAAGCTGCTATAGTGCAGTAGCTAAACACTTGCCTGCTAGTCTGAAGGTCATGGGTTCAAATCTGATTGTATCCCAAGTTACCCAGCCTTAAAATGGCACCAAGAAATGTGCGGAAAGTAAAGGCGGCCCATCATGATGTTGACCACAGCATACACAGCGTGCTGATTAGTTAACAAAAATTGATTCTAGTTATTTTATGCTTGATATTCTGTTGGTATGAAAAAGTTCTTTACTTACTACTACTTTTCTGAAAAATCTCTTATAATTCTTTTTAAGATCTAACAAACTTTAATAGCAATGCAACTGCCAGGAATCTGTTCAATCCAGTTACCATATGATAATACATGTGACCATGTGATAACACATTTGACCTTGTGATAACACCCACGACCATATGATAAAGCATTTGACCTTGCGATAACACCCAGGACCATGTGATAAAGCATTTGACCTTGTAATAACACCAATGACCATGTGATAAATCATTTGACCTAGTGATAACACCCACGACCATGTGATAAAGCCTGTGACCCTGCGACAACACCTGTGAAGCATATTCACATTACAGCTGTAAACATCTATACTGTGTTAAAGATTAAACAGTACAAGGACACACTATACCTGGACTTGAGTCCCGCCTCATCTCCAGGAGTGAGCAGATACAGGTCAAGGTCAGCATTTTGAAACTGAGGCAAGTCTAGATTAATTTCTATATCTTTTATATTCAGATAGTAAATTACCAAATCACCAGCTTGATATCTAAAAAGAAAGATGATATCAACACTCAGTAACTGCAGAGAGAAGAATGTTCATTGAGAATGAGAACAATACAATTGTATAGGCTTTTCTTCTCTTTCTAGGTGTTCAATGGCTGGTAAACTGGTGAAAAATTCCTTCTGTTCATCTGCTTCTAAACTTAGTTATGTCCCATAGCTTGAGTTTTGCATGCACATCTATTTTACAGAAATGGCTTATTTTTATCCAGAGTGCTGGCTGCTCACCTTTCAGGCAGATATACCCCCACTTTGAATGGAAAACCCCTATTAAGTCAACTTTCATGATATGCTAGTTAACCCATTTAGTATCAACCAACATACCATACTTTTTTTTTTTTGGTTTCAATGGACATATTACACTGTTCAGAACCTACCCAGCTGTTACAATCATCCTCTCAGTCTAAATCTTACTGTAACTTCTGTTGTCCAACGGTGAAATTTCTCAGATTTAATTAAAATGACTAAAGTCACAATTTGAGCTAACAGAATGAGCTAAAGTAATGCTTGGTACTGAAATGGTTAAGGGGGTGGTGGGTCTATTCTTTTCCACCACAAAATGGGTTCTTGAACCTACATGGGGGAACAGGTCTTTACAAATAAGGGTGACAAGTTATCTTTCTTTTTGCTTGTCTTTAACAGACAATTCATTCAAAATTTTTTTAAAAAAATGGTTGGCACCCATTCTGATGTGGTTGGACTGACTTTCAGATCCACAGTGACTGGAAAAATTCAATAAATCAGCCCACCTCTGAAAAGGATTGAACTCAAACACTGTCTTCACAGGCAGACAGACTAACCATTACCTCAGACAGCCATTAGAGGTAGCAGAGGCCATGGTGTAGCAGTTAGATGCTCGCTTGTGGATCGCTGTGGGTTTGGGTCCTGATAGTGCCGGACTTTTTCAAAAATGAACTTGCCTCCAAGGTCAACCCAGCCTTCATTGGGTACCAGGTACAAGTCCTGGGAAGTAAAGGCAGCCGGCATGATGCTGACCACACTGCCCATCAAGTGTCGACTGATGTATAAATTACAATCTTAGCCCTATATGCCCATTAAGCCTGAAGGCGTGGAAGAGGGTATCTTAGTTTACTTTAGAGGCAGAAATAAGAAATGAGATCAGTTAAATATGTTGGTCTCGTTAGCTCTTTCAGTGGCAAGTAACACACTGTGAGCTTGCTGATTTATATTTACAGGATATAACTTCCTGACCTCCTTGTGGCATATCCAGTTATTATATTAACCCACACGGCAACAAGTGTTAATTAAACTCTTCTGCCTCTTCAGCATTTAATAATTTAAGTATCAAATACTTATGATATAATGAGTTAAAGGAACACCTGTCTAGGACTCCAAGACTTGAAAGACCACCAGGGTGTTACAGCAACACATCAGGGAAACAAGGCACAGTAAGAATGTAGCCAAACATGCACATCATAATGGGTACTTAAGAAGGCATAAGACTGCCTAATTTGCCCCAAAATTAAAGTACTGTCTCTACAGTAAAAGGTTGGCAGTAATGGATCTTCAAGATACTTTGTTTTTGCCATACTTGTATACTCTCTGGGCCTTCTGTTCATCCATCTCTTGTTGTTATCCTCCCACTAGTACATCATTACAGTCAGGTCTTCTGCAGAAAGCTGCTGTTATCACAGCATGTCAGAAAGTCAGTGGTACCCTGTTAACTGACCAGGGTGTGCTTGATTTCATATGTCTACTGTCATTACAGCTGACTCTTCCCTTCTTCCATGAATCCATGCCCCCCATTACTGTTCTCTCTCATCAAAATGGATGACAGGTCACTTCTGCCAGATAGTGGCTGCTGCATTTTTTCTCTATTTGTAGACTGAAAGGACAAAAGGACACATTTTTGTTGCCAAGCTACTGAGCTGAGTGCTTGGTGAACCACTGTGAGTTGTGGATTTCATTTGGAATTTTCCGGCTGTGACCAACTGTAGATTCTGTTGCCATAGAACTGGTGGTACCACATGTGATAAAATTTGATCGAGTGTGCAACCGCTGGTTCCATCAATGAAAAACTGCATTTCCAATGTCAGATTGTATATGTTAGCACTTCTGATGGCTGCCTTATGGTTTTAATGCATGTGCATGCTATTGGATATGATGAGACTACAGACTGTGTCAATTTTTCCGCAAGAGACAGTGATAGGCATTTTGTGTGTTTTTCGCTCACACAAGAGTGGAGATATTATATTATGGGGCGACCCATTTGCTATGAAGCTGAAACTAAGATTACCAAGATAACTGTTCTCTTTAAACTATTGTGGCACTACTATATAAGGCTGAAGTTTCCAGTTTATTAGTAACAATGATGTCAATGAGCCAGTTCCCCACTGTGTTTATAAATTTTAATTTGACATAAAATTTAACTTTTTTTAAACAATTTCTTTTAGAAACTCTAAGCCCTTAATTGCTGTCACCTGTGCCTCAAGCATGGTTAACACACATGTTAATTCCAAGGTGCAGAGTTTAATCCCAGCTGCAGGCAATTTAGCAACAGACCACCTTGCATTGGTTTTGACAGTGCAACAAAGAGCCGACTGGTCATAAAGCAATGACAAACAACTGAACGTAAAACTGTCTAGTGAAATCACAAATAGTGAAAAAATTTTAGGGTTGGTTCTGCAACGTCCTGTGAAGGACATGCAATTAACTTTTCTACACCTTATTCCAAATTCATAGGTTCAATTCAGCTGCAGGCGATCTGGCAGCAGGGCGCTTTATGAGTACAGAAAGCGATGACAAACTAACCTAAAATTGCCTGACAAAACCACAAACAGTCAACAAATGCAGGAGTTGGTTTATGACAGCCTGTAAAGGATAAGTAGTGATATTTTTTATCCCACAGAAAACTTTTGTTGCAAAATCCAACTAAAGATAAGCAGTTCTACAAAATGTGAGTTGCTGAACTATTTCAGTTCCAAGAAATGCACTTGGTGTTATTTGCTGTTCCTCAAACATTCCAACCATTGCATTATGCTTTCTCTTCTTAAATTTGTTTACCACATGCTAAGGAAATCTGGCTGCTCCTCTAGTCAATTCAATGTCTATTTTGCCTCCTATAAAGCAAATCAGGCCCAAATTTTCATACTAATTACTTCCTTATCTTTCCTCAGGATCTCCTGACAAACCTTCTGGTACTGAAAGAATTAAAGACCCATGCTCCATTGGTAGATAAAAAAAAATAAAAAAACCTAAACAGATAGAATGCTCTTATTAAAGCACTAATAAATGAAACAGTTTAAAGCTCCTATATAAGTGCATAAACAGTAGTCTTACAGTTTGCAATCAGAGTGAACGTCACAAAGTGTTAGAGATTGACTGCGACCTCAACTGCTTCATCAAGACGTCTTTTTTCATTGTATCTTTGACCAGTTACCTCAGTAAAGTGTTTTACTTTTAAGGACCTTCTGTGTACTTTTTTCTAATGCATTGTATATGTTGTGCTTCATTACGCTAAGGTTATTTTCTATATATGCTGTCATTCCATCTTTTGCATTCTTCTTCTAGCTCAGTTCATTACATCACATCAACGTGGCTCTCTGAGGCAGCTGGTGCTAGCGCAGGCTTGTATAATGGTTCAATTCTATCTACTGCTCTTTAATGAATTACATGACTGCTTCTTGACCTAATCCTCTATTTTCTTCATTTTAAATTGTATCACTTCTTATTTCTCTGGCAGGCAACTGCATGGTCTCGAGGCATGGTGTCCGCCTCGAGTACTACAGGTCTGACGTTCAATCCCTGGTAAGGGCTGGGAATTTTTCACATGAACTTAGACTTCTAGTAATTCCCCCTGGTTTCTGGGTAGTGAGATTGGACGCCCGTGTGCATTGTTGTGCACGTAAAAAATCCATTGGCAGTTAGAAATCGAAAAGAGTAGCTAACGGCGCTACAAAAAATCTACCCAAAGTATTTCAGGATCCTTGTAGGTGCTACAGAGCCTCTGCACTGTGCTGAGTTTCTTCGGACTCAGACTTGAGTTAGAAGAGAAATGGAGTACTTATTGGTTACATCCGTATGCCATGATGTTGATCCGTTGTTCAAAACCTCATTACTCAGGTAGCTTATTTTAACTGACTGATTCACTACAATAATTTGTGATCTTGTCTGCAAGAACACTAAACAAACAAAAACCACTTACATGTTTTTCCTGGCACAATGTGCATACACCCTCAGTTGTTGATCTGCTGGCTCAGTGATGACACTGAACACCGGGCCTTCAATCAGTCTCTTGAACAGAACTGACAGATAGTAATCCTGGAGATATGTACAAGGGTACATGTGAGACATTCACATGAAAATATGTAGGAGGAGCGCACAAGAAAATATGTGGAGGATGCATATAAGAAAATATTTGGCAGATTTGTTAAGGAAAATATGTGGTAGGTTTGTCACAGGAACATATGTGGGAGATGTGTACAGGAAAATATGTGGGATGTGCATTAAGGAAAATATGTGTGACATATGTACAGAAGAAAAGGTGGAACATGTGTACAGGAAAATATGTGGGATGTGTGTACAGAAGAAAAGGGTGTGGCATGTGTATAGGAAAATAATACATGAGGAATGTGTACAGAAAAATGTGTCCTGGAAAACATGTGGGGAGCGCACAGACACCCACCGAGAGAGAGAGAGAGAGAGAGCGAGAGAAAGATGAACAGAGAGAGAGAGAAAAGAGAAAGAGAGAGAGAGAGAGAGAGAGAGAGAGAGAGAGAGAGAGAGAAAGAGAGAGAGAGAGAGAGAGAGGAAATTATGTTTAAAAAAAATTCGAAAAAAACGAAATTGTGATAAATGATAACAAAGGATGGTAAACGTTTATTGGTATTTTGAACAAATATGTGAAAAGTCATTTGAACAAATATGTGAAATGTCAATCTCAAATTATGGTTTAGTGCCACAAACACTTGGAACTGCCAATCTCAAATACTGGTATCCTATCATAAACATTAGTACAAAGGTACTGACCACATGTCTTTTATGGGCTTTATATGATCCCTGTTCACAAAACTGAAAACAAGTGGTTGAATACATGACTATGACATCAGAGTCACCTGGTGAGAAATGACTGCTGTGAATATTCACATGTTATCTCATACAGTCATATAGCTGGAGAGGAAGAGAGGCAGAGGGAGATTATGAAAGGAGATTCTGAGATTCACAGCATGGAGGATCATCACTCAAAAATTAATGAACATTAATGAGACAGAAGAGTGTGGAACAGTGATGACTACCTGTGCTATATGGCATGAGCTATAACTCAACAGACAGGAAACACCTTCTGCATGAGGCCCTAGGGGAAAGCAAGGTTTTTTGACCGAAAACAGTAGCTCTTTGATGACGCAAACAGAAATCACTATCAGAAATGTTTGTACTTGTGAGGAATGGATCAAATCACAGGTCAGCCAGGAAAACAGCCTTGCAGAGAGTGACAGTTACTTAGGACTAAGGATGCTGGGAATGGATAGTTGGTGAAACAGTCAGCAGTGCAAGAGCTGATCAATGAAAATTCATGCCCACCTTACACCATTATATGTCTGGATGAGTCTGTAGTTATAGGTAAGAAAAAGTGAACTGATACTGTTTGAAGACAGAGAACCTCAATTGTAACAGAATCACAGAATATGCGTCAGAAATTTTAAACTATCGTTCTGCGTACAGATTAGCTTGTATCACTTGACACGACTCAAATCAGAAGCATATCACGGATTTTCTTTCCTGGATATTCAGGTGTGCGAGGTAAAGAGCAAGCTGATAGTTTTGCTGATGCTGCTCCTCTGGGCGGTGAGCTACTTTACGAAAAAAGCAGATGTGGTGAAAGCTCTCTGCATTAAAATGGACAATGCAACAGAAAAATATGGAGGGGGGGGGGGAGGGAGGGGGCGGGGTTAAGTAGAGGTTCTGGAATATATATTCAACACTGAAGAGGAAACACAGGCAGAACTCAAATTCAGGTATAAGAAGACATATAAAAAAAGGTTCAATGTCCAAATGACCAACTGCTCCAAAAGACACCATAATAAACATTCTATGGTGAACTTACTGGATAGGGGTTCATGTTTTGGTCAAGTAGTCCATATGATCCTCCAAGGAAGGTCTGCCGGAATACCCTGGATATCCCATATTGTGCTGACAAACCTAACTTGTCCAGCCATCTGTAAATTTACAAAGTAATTCATTGGGTGTGAAAAGAAAATTGCTGAATAAATTTTAGTTCCTTCTTCTTCTTTTTTTAAAAGGATTGACAGTCAGGCTGCAGTATCTCCACCGTTTGGTCCAACACATCCAATTTGTACCAACCCCCCCCCCCCCCCCCCCCCCCCCCCCCCCCCCCCCCCCCCCCCCCCCCCCCCCCCCCCCCCCCCCCCCCCCCCCCCCCCCCCCCCCCCCCCCCCCCCCCCCCCCCCCCCCCCCCCCCCCCCCCCCCCCCCCCCCCCCCCCCCCCCCCCCCCCCACTGGATCATAACTCAATCAGCTTATGCCATGTCCTTTATCCTTTGCTTTCTCATGCAGTTCACCCCACATCATCCTAACTTTTTAACTTCACTCTCTAATTCTACATCCAGTTTCAGAAAACATGAATAAATGAGTTTTTCTGTCGGTGGCAAAATTAAACATCCTAGCCTGTACAGTCCACGGCCGACAGCCCTAGCTAGGTGACCCTAAATCCTGGAGCTCAAGCCCCTCCTGTCTAACTAAAGGTCCCTTTTTCATGCCTTCAGGTGTATTGGGAACATAGGGCTAGACCTGTATTTTTAAAGACTAATTGGCATTTGGTAAGTGATGTGGGGTAAGTGATGTGGTCAGCATCATACTGGCTGCCTTTATCTCCCAGGGCTGCACCTGGTACCCACTCAAGGCTGGGTCAACCTGGGAGTCAAGGTCATTTTTGAAAAAAGTTCAGCTCCATAAGGACGCGAACCCTTGACCTTCCGATTCGCAGGCGGGTGGCCCTTTAAGAAACGATTGTAAAGGGGTGGCGGGTCTATTATTTTTCTTGCAAAATGGAGCCTCAGTTTCTAACATGGGGGAACCTCAGTTACAGTTCTATTACACATGTACAGCATGATTCTAAACAAATGTCACTGCCCAGATAAACACTCTACCATATATCGTCATCATTTCAGAAGATGCTGAATTCCATGGGCAGCCTAAATTCCAAATGTTTTGAAAGAAGCTAAGACACAAAGACAACGTAGCACAAATCTCAGAATGAGGCAGACACCAGTTTGTGGTCACATTATGAGAACAGAAAAACTTAAACATTTGTTGAGACAAATGGAATGACAGATAAAGGAAGATAATGAGAGAAGATGCTTGACAGCCTCTTATCATGCATGACACAGAAAGAGGTCAGCACAATACAGGCTGCTGGAGGTCACAAGGTTCGGAAAAGCTTGATCATTCACATCCATTGACGCTTGTTGACAATGATTATGATCCATTAAATTATAGCCAATACCTGATAACATTATCTGCGTCATTTCTTTCATCGATGTTCTATGGATTTTTTATTTTAATAAAGATATTTTTCTCTTTTGATGTTAAGTACATTTAGAATATTTATATACATCTCAAAAAAAAAAAAAAGCTATTAAAAAAAAAAATAAAATCCCACAGACTTACAAGAACCCTGCCAGGTAAGCGTCAGACAGGTTTGTTGCTCCGCCTCCAAAACAAGATGATGTCTCCGTTAACAAAACAGGCAACGGTACAGGACTTGATGTAACTATATCTAAGGCCAGCTGCAACTGACTCTTCAAAGAATTCAACACTGTTAAATTTACAAACTGGTCTTGGGTTGCTGTTCTTGCATTCAGGTAGTAACTGTTGATATAATAAGTTAAATAAAGTAAAGTGAAGGATATTTTTCAGTAGAATCTTAATTTAAAAAAAAAAAAAAAGATTAAAAAAAATGAAGTTAGTTGCGTATGCCTACAGAACGTTGCAGAACCAACACCAGCATTTTTTGGCTGTTGTGTTGGCCTAGATAAATTACAAAGATGCGACTTGCTGTGGATCTGAACCTAAGAATCTAGCCATTCGGCTAGTGTTGCTGCTATAAATTAAATGTAGGACATATTAATACCAATAATTTTATGCTCAAAATTAAAATAGTTGATAGAAACTTGGACATTGAACAAGCAATTATAAAAAAAAAAATTCAGACACTGGAGATGTGGGTATACAGAAGAATAGGTGGTATTTAACACTTTCAGTCGGGGGGGGGGGGGGGGGGGGGGGGGTGGGTTAACCTGGCGGCCCAAGATTCAAAATCCTAGAACTGGGATTATAGGTAGGCACCTATGATATGTTCCTTGGGACTCAAAGAGTTAAAGAAACATAAACAGTCAAATACAGGTATTTTGAGGAGACTGGGCATGAAAAAAGAGTTACTATGAAAAATAGAAAAGATAAACGACAGGTGAAATATTTCAGCCACATTAAAAGACAACACTCTAATAAATAGAGAGCCGCCATGGTGTTGGGTGACGTAACCTGACATTTAAAAAAAAACAACCTTGGCTCCCAGGTAAATTTAGCCTTGAATGGGTTCAGGGTGGAGTCTTGGAAATAAAGGCAGCCAGCATGATGCTGACTACATCTTCCACCAAGTGCCAAATGGTCTATAAAATATAGGTCTAGCCCTATATGCCAAATACACTTGAAGGTGTGGAAAAGGTCCTTTTTACTGTTATAAATATCAAACTGGTGAAAAAGCACCAATATAAATGAGAGAGTAACATTAAATATTAACTAACAGTAGTCTGAGATGGTGAATAAACAAGGTGAGAGATGTGTGTGGGATTTGAATAGTGTAGTACTTCTCATGTCAAATCAATACTGCTGTAAGGAGCGGAAACATGGAGAACAACTAATGCAATGACTAAAAAACTACACAAATTCCTTAACTGGTGCCATCACAGAACAGAGGGAAATAAATGGTATGATAGAATAGCTAATGTAGACCTTTGGCAGAGAACTTAACAAGTTCCAATGGATCTAGAGATGAAGACAACGAAAATGGTGTTTCATAGAACACACATTATGAAACCTGAGAACAATAAAACTAGAATGTCTTTGCACTGGAAACCAACAGGGTCATAGAAAAAAATCACTTTGAAAAGGAAGCTAGAGAGTGAAGTTAAAAAGATGGGGAGGACATGGGGAGAGTTATATGTGACAGTGAAGGATAGAGCAACTTGGCGTGAGTTTGCTGAGAGCCTAGACTCCATTTGGGGTTAGAAAGCAGATGAAGAAGAAGAAGCAATTTCAGGTTATGTTAGTCCAATAAAAGTATGAACTAGAGAAATATGCTAATGTTTTAAAAGTATGATTCCCCCAACTTTCCAAAATAAGATTACTAGGTTAAATTAATGCTAAGAAGATGTAAAAATATGCAGCAAATGTGAAGACTTACTGGTGAAGGCTTATTCCTGAAATAACATTGTATGCACCTGACAAGAGGAAACTGAAAAGAGATAGATTTTCAGTTTTAACAACTTTAGACATAGAATAGCAACAACAACAACAACAACAACAAAACTGATTCTTTCAACCAGTCTTTATCAACAAACAAAATAACAGACCATTATCTGCCTTATGGTTTAATGCTTCAGTCGTGTCTGTTCTTTTTAAAATAATACCCCCTCCCTCCCTCTCCAACCCCTTTCCATACACCTTGTTAGCTTCACTGGTAATAGCTCCCCGATCCGTGTGTTCTTCCTCCAAGACCTGATGCAATTTTTCTTTGATCAAAATGTCTGGATGTATTTCATTTAAAACTTTTCAGTTAACTAGTCAACAGTTTGTTTTGTGTTTAGTTAATTCTTGATATCAGCCAGAGTGCAGTACATTCTGTGTGTCCTGTGTGATGTAACTGATTTTATATCTCTATCCCAATGGTCACCATTACACAACATCTTTGGTACCCAGGACGACTAAGGAAAGGAGAAGATAGGTCTGGGCCCTATATCATGCCCCCTACCATCACATGTTGTGATGCACCTCTGATCTCCTGTGTTGATTAACCAAATGCTGTGTGCTCTTAGTGAAATATTCATGTTGTTTCTGTCATGTTCTTGCACTCCCATAGCCACCAGTTTGGCGAGTCACATGGAAGCATGAAGATGGTATCAGTCGTCAGCTGTACATACAAGTCCTAATTTTAGCCAGCTCACAGAGTATGTTGAGAAAGGTGGAGGCTGGTATGCTCCGTGAAGAACATCAAGCATTGCTTAAGAGATCCTGTGTAGTTAGCATCATTTGGATATTATCCCCAGGAGATGCCAGAGTATTAGGAAATGAACAGGCAAATAGAGTGGCTGCTTATGCACAACTTAGTGATGAACTGATGCATGCTAATCTAGATGTTGTAAGGGCCCTTTGGGGTGAATGAACAGTGTGGAAGCACAGATGGATCATCATGGTCTGAATAGAATGGTACTGCAAGGAGTGACCAGGGGATCTGGTCGACATTTAACACTTAAGGAAAAGGTAAGACAGATATACAATCAGACTGCTAATGATACCACTGAAATTGGCACTCTGCACTTGCTGCTGAAGATGGGGATAGAGCACTTATGGGAATGTTCTGAGTGCTATGATGATGATTATTAATTAAACAGTAAACATGCAATGAAAGCATGCTTGTCCCCATAATTATCTTTGCAATATGCATCTATCATGAAATCGATTATACAACTCCTGTCCTTTGACCTACAAGTCAAAATAACTGTGGTAGCATCCAGACAATCTGCATGCTCAAACATTCACACGACTTGGCACATCCACACGATTCACCACAAAAGTGAAGATTAGACTAGCCACTTGTGTTGTGTTTAATTCTTGTCTGATACAGCCAGTCTGAATTTTCTTGGCATATATACTCAGGAGCTGGACTGAATGACCTTGATCCTCAGGTTGACCCAGCCTTGAGTGTGTACCGAGTGCAGTCCTGGGAAGTAAAGGCGGTCAGCATGATGCTGACCACATCACCTATCTTATGCTGATTGGTCTAAAAAATACAGGTCTAGCCCTATATGCTTTAAGGCGTGGAAAAGGGGTTTTACTTTACTTTTTATTTTGTTTTTACCTATATGCCATAAACACCTAAATGCATGGAAAAGGGACCTTTCCTATAAAAAAATTATTTTTTTATTTTAATATTTACTCAGATAGTGACTGACTGACTTTCTACCACACTAGGACATCACACAAGTGACAAACACCCGATGACACAAAGTGCCACCATGTGGATGAGGATCGCCGTGGAGAGGTCCCAGAAACTGCATTCAGACAATTGGCCATATTTATGGCCTGCCTATATTGCGGTCCCTGGCAAAAGCCAGGGTAAGGCTTCAAATAACAAAAAATTTCGTCCTAAAAAAGACGAAACATGTATATATTTAGCACTCAGATAGTGGAGAATGGAGAGTAAAAAATAACAATAAAATTCATAATCTGTTGAAGTCATTATTAATTACTGCATCATGAGGACTAATTAACTGTGATGGTTATATATATAGAAATGGTGAAATATAAACTGTGTACACAAAAGAGCTAAATGGGAGCAGACCAGAGGGAGACCAAAAAGAGGGTGAAGAGATAATGTATTTGCAGACCCACACACATTTGGAGGCATCAACTAGAAAGAGACAGCCAATCAAAGAGATGAATGAAGATAGGTAATATCTGCAGAAATGAACCTCGAGGGCTCAGAATGCTGAAGAAAAAGTTGATATTCATTTAGTCACGCAGTAAGGACACATGAGTGAACTTGTGAGTACCTAGCCATACCTGTCTTCTTGCTCCTAAAATTACATCCATTGTGAGGCCTCTTGTTGCAGCAGCAAAGGCATGACTTGATGTGTGAGCGACTCTAATTATTGAGTCTCTACAGTAATAACCACTCATTCAATATAACAAAGCTCATCATATGCAAGTGAAAGTCTTTCCTTGCACAAACAATAACAATTTAAGTAAATAAAGTTCCTATTTCTACACCTTTAGGCATACTGAAAATATTATGCTAGCTCCATAACTGAAAAGACATACTGATTTTAAAATGAATAGTGCCACTGGGATCTGTAAACTAGTTTTATTCTCCTAACAGCCAAGACTAGGTTTTAACAAAAAGTCACAAACTCCACTCATGCTTTTGAGCCATAGTATTAGCTAGTGATATCATGCTTCACTTGCTCACTTTATATTGGGCCAGGTAAAATCCCTAGTAGTTGCTGCAATCTGCTTAAACAGTGTTGCCCCTGGGTCAATCCAATCTGAAAACTGAAACTAGATTAAAGTTCCGGACTTTCTGGAAACTGAAAAGAACAGGTCTTTAGAAAGGGAGCTGGTCACCACACCTAATTATGCCTGGACTTACTCTGTCCCAGCTTCTGCCAAAACTTTACTATGACCTTTAATGAGTACAGTAACTTTATTACATGCAGCATCTAACTAGACAGAACGTCTAGGGTAGGGGTGGGCAACCATTTTTAGTTCACAAACCAAATTTAGAATTACCAACCTGGTTACGGGCCATATAAGAAATATCCATCATAAATATAACACCCTGATTTCCTTGTAACGTGATATTTTTTTGGGTTTTTAATCTCTCACTACACATCTGGCCAGACACACCTACCCACTGAAGCACTTCTATATATTCCTAAATGTGTCTGTTTAGGCAGCTTATTTGCAGAAATCATTTTACTGAGGGAAAGTAGGAGGAAAAAGTAGAGAAGCATGGAATGATAGATTCAAATTGTTTTCATTCTGCATAAGAACCTATGTTTGTGTGTTCTACTATTCTGTGAGCTCAAGGGCCAGATTAAATAGTTATTTTACACCAACCTCGGGGGCCACAACAATTGCTTAGAGTGCTTAGAGGGCAGGTTTTGGCCTATGGACCATGTTTTGTCCATCACTGGTGCAGGGTTTGAATCTACACTGAATAAAATTGTAACTGACCATAGCTCTCAGCTTGATCCAGCAAACATGTACCAGGATATGTCCTGGTAAATAAAGACACCGGTATGGTTATGACCACATGACCTATCGAGCGCAAGTTGGTCTAGACAAATATGAGGTTAGCCTGGTAGTCTGGATTTTTTCTGTAACCATCTACTGACTAATCTACATCCATTCTTCAGCCCTACCCTTTACTCACTAACATCTTTCTGGTAAGGCACTGCAAGGAGTTACCAGAGGATCGGACCAATGATCAACACTCAAAGGAAAGGCAAGAGAGATACACAATCAGACAGTTATTGGCACCACTGGAATTGGAAGTTTTCGCTTGCTGCTGAAGAAAGGGGTGGAGTGCCTATGGGAGTGTTCTGTGCTCACCAGACCAAATATAACAAAATTTACTCACTCTGTCAAATACTGAATAGAGCCATGAGGCACATTCAGATTGGTAACATCAGGCCCATACAGCCTACTTGTGTTGTAGAGTGGGTATTTGGAAATCAAACTCTTCAGTATTCTATAGTCTTCTGCCAGGATCTGGGGTGAGACTGTTAGGTTGAAGTTGTGGCGATAGGAGTTGGGCTCTGAGAAATGGGGTAGGAGACATAATTATGGTTCATAGTGTAAGTGAGATGACATTTAAAAAAAAATGTTTTTTTTAAATCATTATCCAATGTAACTGTCATAATTGAAACTGGCTATGATTGGCACCCTTCTATCTTTCCAGACGATAGTGATTGAGTTGAGCTAAGAATTGATTTCACAGCACTAGGGGCATTCCCATATGCGTTTGTAGACGATAGTGTTTTATTGTGCTATGTACGAGGAGAAATAGGACTCAGTGCCTAGCAAGACTCGTCTGCATTACAGCAGGAGATTTCAGGACCGTTCTTGGCAACATTTGTGTTTAGTCTGTTTCTTCTCAGAGGCTCAGACCCATTCTTTCTGAAATCATTTCTTCCTTCAATCTCATTCCTTTCCTGATGTGCCCCCTCCACACAACACAGTCCATGGCATTTTCATTCCCATGAGTCCCCCTCAATGCCTGTATCATTCATTTTGGCTAAGAACTTTATGAACTGCATACTGCTATGTATAGTACTGCAAGACATGCACTGTATGTACTGTAAACTGTAATCTTATAGTACTGAGAGATAACCAGCACAAAATTTGTTTAATGCTGTTTTATGTACAATTGCAAGAAATAAGTACTTAAATGCAATGACATTGTTTTAAGTAAGACTGCCTACACATAAACAATATACACATTGTATATATGCTATGTACAGAATTTTAAGGAAGAGATATGAACTAAATAGTATCGGATGGCAATTAACATGGCAGCTGTAAATGATGGCTGCAATCTTTTTCATTAGAACTGGTTGGTAAATGCAATCGTTACATAAATAGTTATCATCATCTAGCAGAAACCACTCATTAAGCAAATTTAACAAAACAAAAAAAACAACAAAAAAAAAAAAAAAACCTGTTGTAGATCTTACAAAAAAACATGTGTGGACCTACAAAATAATTAGTAATTAAGCAGCTACATTCTTATCTGCCGGTTCAAGGACCTTGGGTTTAATTCTGCATCGAGGCAGTTCTGTACACTTGATGTAGGGCTCCCAGTCGACCTAAGTTAAAAAGTATCAGAAAATGTCCTCAGAAGTAAAGGTGGCAGGTGTGAGGTTGACAATTTCACCCAAGGAATCCTGCTTGTTCTATAAAATATGGATCTAGTGCCATTCACTTGATGCTACAGTTTAACATTCAAGCAGTGCTATAAACCTAATTCATGATGAACACGACAGACTACCATTTTAAAGAAAGCAGAAATCACAGACTGACTGCTATATCATAATAATAATAATAAAAATAATAATAAAAAAATTTAAAAAACAACTAATAAATTATACAACTAAAAGATATAATTAGCATAAATGAAACTTAACAAAAGATAAAACTAAGATCAGGCCCAAATCATAAACTTGAAAAACAGAAATAATATCTCAACACAAATAAAGTAAACAAAGGGCACAAATATAAAAATTAAAATAACTATAAACTCAACAAAAGATCAAGTAACATGATCATCATACTGTTGTAAAGTTTATACATCACATGCAGTTCATGGTCTTTTCACTTACTCTACTCTACGCTACGCAATCTTTTTGGTTACATGGACTAAATCAAGTCCGGCACCTTAGTCATAAAAATTCATCTTAGGGTTGCTCTTGGACGTCTCTGTTCCCTCTATCCAGCTGTTTCCCATTTTAATGCCTGTTTGGCACTTCTCTAGCAGCTTATCCTGAGGATGTGCTCAATCTGTCTTCATCTTATGTGTCTTTAATTGTTCCTACCAGTAGCTGTCCAGACATTTGCCTTATTTTTTCACTTTGCTTGAATTCATCTCATGTAATATACAAGTACAACAGCCACAAATATGAAGAAAAAAAAATATTAACAGAACAAACCTAACAACAGATAAAACTGAGAACTCATAAACTTAATCCATAAACTATTTTAATTTTGCAGATCTAAAACAAAAATATGCTCAAAATTAATTTTCCTAACATCAAGATGCAACAGTAATGGTGTAGTCCATGAGGCAGACAAGAAGATGATGGAGAGATAATATCCAGACAGACCTGCAAACACTTGGTGTCACCAACTGGAATGAAAAGGCCAACCAAAGAGAAAAATGGAGGCGGGTGATATGTGCAGCAATGAACCTCAAGGACTTTACTGGTGAAGAAGAAGATGCAACAGTAAACTGAAAGAAGTGCTATCCTACTAAACAAATGATAATTACCATTTCCTAGTTGGAAGTATGGGATCTTGATGCCCCTTTCTGATGAGTAATTCAGCAGCAGCTCTGCATTTGAAGGATCCCAGAGATCACCTTTCCACTTGAAAAGGTTGAAATCAAACATGAGATTCCAGCCAACTTTTTCTATAAAAGTATTCAAGATGTCCCAGTGCTTTCCTGAAGGAAAAACAATGTAGAATGCAAAATCACATTATAAAAACATATAGTGACTACTGTCTGTCCCTTCCTGAAGGTCTGATTACCCCTGAGAAAGTTATAACTGGAGTACCAGCATAAGGAGTTGCGTATCATCATACATTGAGTATATATTTATAAGATCTAGAGAAAAGGGATCACACTTAAGTGGTCAGGACATAAATAACTTGCATTATTCTTATTATTAGAATTATTAGCAGTTGTTTTAATCTTCATATCAACCTTGTGCTATCAGTGTCAGACAAGGACACTGATTAAAGAACATGAAAGAAGACCGCCATAAAGTCATACAGGCTTACAGGGATTGAAGGTAGTTGTAGAAAAAGTGGGCCTCAGACTAAATAATAATAATGGACGTATAAACGAAACAAACCCCACTACATGTACAATGATAGACAACTGTATTGAACTGTTAAGCCAAGGGTTTCCTCGATATTCTTGTGCACTGACTTGTTGGTTGTCCTCTGCTTTCTCTTCCAGGAATCATACCATCCTTTATTCCTCTCCAAACCCATTCAGTTTTCTAAAATGGCTGAATTACTTGAGTTTACAGGAAACTACACCGTTTATAATATTCACCTGGTGGTAATATTGATAGTCAAGGAAACACACAGTATACAATTACTATATGCATTGGCAAAGCAAAAGCAGCTTTTGCAACTTGAAAAAAATATTGAACTTTAAATTATATAGTTTCAAATTATATAGTTCTAGAACCAAGTTACACAATTTCAGTTCTAATATTATTTCAGTTTTAACATTTGTGAAAGTTGGGGAACCACTAAAGATATGGGACAAAGGATAAATGTATTTGAAAAAAAATTCCCCAAGAAAAATGACGAAGATAAAATGGGACGAATTCAGAATGGAATTTGAAAAAAAAAAAATGACTGGGCCACCGCTAATATCAACAGTTATAAGACTGAGAAGATGTCTGGGCAACCACTAATATCAACAGTTATAAGACAGAGAAGATGTCTGGGCAACCACTAATATCAACAGTTATAAGACAGAAAAGATGTCTGGGCAACCACTAATATCAACAGTTATAAGACAAAAAAATATGTCTGGGTAACCACTAATATCAACAGTTATAAGACAGAAAAGATGTCTGGGCATCCACTAATATCAACAGTTATGAGACAAAAAAATATGTCTGGGTAACCACTAATATCAACAGTTATAAGACAGAAAAGATGTCTGGGCAACCACTAATATCAACAGTTATGAGACAGAAAAGATGTCTGGGCAACCACTAATATGAACGTTATAAGACAGAAAAGATGTGGCTTTATTTGACACATTCTGAGACGAGATGAACAGTGAAATCAGGCAATGACAGAAAACAGTGGGATGTAGGAAACCAGGATGTTCAAGAGAAATCCTAAAGTGAACACTGCTGAGGGAGGTCAAAGGTGCTGGAGTGGACTCCAATCATGATACTAAAGTGATTGCATAGAACAGAGCAGAATGGAGAAACAGGCTGTGAGCTGTACGTGACATACAATGACTCAACAGGACGATGAATAAAGAATACCATTTATGAGTCAGTCCCTATTGAAATTCAGATTGTGAAAATGTGTATTTTTTCTTCTCGGTCCATGATTTTATACAAATCTTTCTGCAACATTAAAGTTCAAAAGCCAAGAAATTTTTTTTCTTTAGTGATTGCACAGTAGTCATTTAGATATATTTCATGGAAAACTCAGGTATTCACCAAAATGTATGTCTGTACCTCAGCTTGCCTGAGAGATTTTAACTAACAAATCTATACGCTTCTTAAGTCAGTAAATATCACTCAATGAATCAAGCATGAAATAAAAAACAAATGTAACAAACATGGTTCTGCATACCTGACAAAGTGAAATTTTCCAACTGGAATGGTGAATCAAAGAAACCAGAGTCAAACTTATACCCATTTCCATAAAGTTCTGGAGCCTGCTTGTCCTTAAAGCTGTCTGTGCCATTAGGATCGAAGATCATAAAGTCAGAATATGTTCCCCCAAGTCGAACATCAATAGGAGCCAGAGCAGCTGCTAGGTTTTGAAACTTTAGTGATCTGTGGAGCAACAATATTTAGGTAAGTTTAGTGAAGGAATATTTGAGGTGTGACTGGTCAAGCAATTAAGAATGCTAGGCTCTCATAAGCTAATTGAATTTCTTCTGTTAAAAGCAACAAGAAAAAAAATCTCAACCTGCACAGTCTATGGCAATTGCTCCAGTCATGCGGCCCTAAATCACTAGGCTTAATACACCCCCCCCCTCCCGCCCCCTCCTGATTCCTACACTGCCCATAAAATTTCACAAAAATTGGCAATGTAATAAATATGACAAATTTTGAAAGGCAATAATGTACTGAGAGGATAGGTGTTTCTTCTTCTTCTTCTTTTGTTTGTTTGTTCATGCTGAATACAAATATGGGCTATCTTCCGAACAACAGTCCCAAATTATTGAGGCCGAAAATATACCCTAACAGAACCTCAGTCACATGTCAATTGCGGACTTCCGCCACCGCTGAGAGTATATCTTCCACACGGCTACTTGCGGCGTCGATTGGGGCTAAACTAGATGGCTGGGACTCACGGGCAAATAAAATGAGGGAAGCTGCAGGAGATGCGGTAGCTGCTGATCGTGAGTCCCATCCATCTAGTTTAGCCACAATCCATGCCGTGCGTAGCAGCTTGGAAGATACTCTTGGCGGTAGCGGTAGTCGCCGGAAGTGCGCAATTTAAGACGCCGGAAGTCCACAATTGACATGTGACTGAGGCCCTGTTAGGGTATATTTTCAACCTCGATAATTTGGGACCGTTGTTCGGAAGATAGACCAAATATGTAACATGTCTGTACTCATCCTTCTTTCATACGTACTATCAATTGTTTTTATACAGACAATGTTTGCTGTCATGAAACCAAACTGTTTAAATCATCTTTATTGGCCTCCCTCTGGCTCTCTTCACCTTTAACTATCCAAATGTTTTACATATTCTAGCTTTCCTTTTCTTTAGATCTGCCCACATAATGTGCATGGTGTGTTTTTCTGATGTAAATAATGAAAGAGGTACTTAGAGAATTTAAAACACCACAAATATTTGTCTTAAAAACACATGCTCCAGCAAAGGTACGGTGTTCTTGAAATATTGTATTGGAGTGCTTTTATGAGTTGATAATGCAGAACAAAATGTCAGAGATAAATGAAAATGGGAGAATGAACAAATAAACTTTATTTTCAAATGGTTAGTAATTTACTATGCAGGGGGAGAAGTGATGGGGGCAGTAGAATTATATACATACATACATACATACAAAATATAGGTCTAGCCCTATATGCACTATACACCTACACTTGTGGAAAAGGGTCCTTTACTTACTTACACACATATATGTATACATACACACACACACATACACAATACATACACACACATTCATAAACGCACACATATACCCACACACACACATACAAGGAGATTTTGGTGCAAAACGATATGGTGAGTGCAAGCATATAATTAAAAAATGGGAGATAAGGTGAAAGTTAAACAAAATAGAGAGGTTAAACAAATAGAGAAGATAATATGTGAAACTTGACAAATCAAGAGCAGTGACCCCCTTGTGCAGAAATAAATGAGTCTATAGTACATCAAAACTAGAGCAGATTATTTTCTAGGTCTTTTAACAAACAATACCAATACGTAAGTATTTAGTGTTGCTTGATGATTTACTGATATATTTTTTACTTCTAGTATGCCACCCAGCATTAGGGCAGAAAGAGATCTCTGAAATAGGCCATTTTGTTAGCTTTGTTTATAACACTTTTCTGTTTCTCTCATATTTCCATGGTCTACTTTCGGGGAGGGGGGGTTGACGTCTGAATTTGTTTCTGCTGTGTCCGAAAAACACTGCTCTCTGTGGTGCCCTGTGTGTTGCCAGTCTTGTTACTTGGCCAAACCATTTGATTTGTTGTCTACGGATAAAGTTTAGTATTGGTCTGTGCTGATTCTCCTCTTGATATCCTTGTTCCTAAGTCGATCTTTCCTTGTCACACCTAGCATAACACATAAACATTTAATTTCTATCGTGACTATTCTTCTTCTGTCTTCTGAAGACGGTGTCCATGTTTGAAACTGATACCATAGCACTGGTAAGAACATTGTGTTCAATGCTGCTCTTTTATTGTTCATATTCATGTGTCTGCATTTCAACAGTGAGCCATTTGTCCCATACCTTGACTGGCTTTATTGCACCTTTTTTGCATTTTCTTGATTCATTCTACTATTTTATGAAAAGAAATTCTCCCTATATATGTAAAGTCCTTCGTCTGCTGTAACTGATGTTTATTAATTATGATGTTGAGGGTCCTTCCTTTTATGGTGAATGTCATCACACCTGTTTTGTCTATGCTGATCTTTATATCATAGTTGTCACACGCTGACTGGAGTCTGTCAGTATGTTCTTGTAGTTGTATTTATGTTAGTACAAATGTTGCCTGGTCATCGGCAAAAAGCAATCCATTAAATAATTATTCAATGTTGTTTCCTTCGCTGGTATTAGCTGATTTGAAAATTGTGTCTATGTATGCGATGAACAGTAATGGTGATATTAAAAAAAAAAAAAAACACACACACACACGCACGCACAACCCCCCTGCCCTCCTCTCCCACTTTCAAAGTGCAATACATAAAGTAGTAGTGAACAATTTGGAAAGGCCAGATTTCTTTGCCTTGTTCTGACAAAAAAGTTAACAAATATGGGAGCATTTGACGCTACAGAGCAGAATCAAGGGTAGATTAATTACTTAATCAGGCATTTCTTGGGACTGAAAGAGTTAATCTACACACAAAATTCACAATCTTGCACTCAACTGCGAGCTGCAGGGGTGCAGGGGTGCAGAGCTGCAGGGGTGCAGTGGCAAGAAGTTTACCCACAGGCTTTAGAGTCTAGGATTTATATCCACATCAAGGCAGATTTTTTTTCTTCAAAACTGAACTTGGCTCCCAGGTTGTCCCAGGCCCCCCCCCCCCCATAAATAAATAGGTATTATCCTGTGAAGGTGTAATGTGGACCATGTCATCCACCTGATAATTAGCCACTGCTAGATACTGCCGCTGACCATTAGATCCCTCTAAATGTCTCTCATATCAATTCATAACAAACATCAATTGTTTCATAATCATCAACATTATCCTTTTGTACAGCTGTTACCAAGTTCTTGAGGTCATTTATTCTCATAATGTTTCTGAAACACAATGACTGTCTATGTTTAATTGCTCTAATAAGTTTACCGCGGCTTTATTTGTTTTTCTTTTCTTCCATGATACTTTTTGCATTCTTCTCAAAAACCACATCTCTGTAGCGAGCAATTGTTTGATCAGCTCCCCTCATAATGTGCCCAGTGTATCACCATCTTCTTCTTTTTTTTTTAAACTGTTGATACCAGGGATTGTCCAGAAATGTGTCTTATTTTCTTGTCTTTCTTGTGTTTATCCCATATAATGTCTATCATTAAGGTCTCTTATTTGCTTGTCTTTCTTGTGTTTATCCCATATAATGTCTTTCATTAAGGTCTCTTATTTGCTTGTCTTTCTTGTGTTTATCCCATATAATGTTTATCATTAAGGTCTTTTATTTGCTTGTCTTTCTTGTGTTTATCCCACATAATGTCTATCATTAAGGTCTCTTATTTCCTTATATTTCTTGTGTTTATCTCATATAATGTCCATCAATGTCCTCAGTATCATCATGCAGTACACCACTATTTACATCAGCCATTTTATGCTACCATTTACAGGGATTGTAGCAAAAGTCATCATCTGTTTTCAGAGGTTTTTTAAGGACTTTTCAAAGTATTTTGGCATTTTCAAGGTTGTCTTTGGCATTGTTAGATTCCAAAGAATCACATCTATTTTCGGATGCACAAAGTATGGTAAGTCTATTTTGTGATGAATAAAGTATGGTATCTTCTTCTTTTTCAGCATTCATAGCCCTTGAGGTTCTCTGCTGCAGATATCACCCACCTCCATTCATCTCTCTGGTTGGCCTTCTCTTTCCAGTTGGTGACACCAAGTGTTTGCAGGTCTGTCTGGAAGTTATCTCTCCATCGTCTTCTTGGTCTGCCTCATGGTCTATGACCATTCATCTCCCTCGTGTATACAGTTTTTACTTCTCTGTCATCTGACATTCTTTCAATATGCCCCAACCATTTCAGTCTCCTGATGCCAGTTATCAGTGGTGATTTAAACAGATTATGAACTTCGTTGTTGCTTCTCACTCTCCATTCCCCGCTGTTTGCATCTTTGATGGGTCCAAACATTACATTTGTCATAAAACCTGTAATATGGCTTCATCTCTTTTAGTTGTGCTTCAAGTTTAAGAGCCACATGAAACGACTGGTTTTATCAATGTTTTATATATTTTGATCTTGGTGTTGCAAGACAGACACTGACTTTAGCAGATATTGAAGGGCATAGTATACTTTATTTCCAGATTGTATTCTAGAATTTATTTCTTCTCTCAGCATGGTGGAGCAGTTGAAGTTTGCCCCTAAGTACTTCTATGTTTCCATTCATTTTATTTTCATTTTATCGTATGTGGCCAGAGTTTATATACATTCCTTGTCTAGTTATTTTCATGTATTCTGTCTTATCTTGATTGATAACTAGCCCCATTTTCTGAGCTGATTCTTTTAAGACAGTCAGTGTTTTAACAGTCTCTGGTTCATTTTCTCCAACAATATCAATGTCTCCAGCATATCCAAGTATTCTTGTAGTTTCTCTTATAGTACACTCTTGTTTCAATTTTCTTACAATTTTCTCCAGGGCCAAGTTGAAAAGAAGTGGGAACAGAGCATTACCTTGCTTTAAACCAGATGTTATTGTATCTGATGATACTAAATTGCCTACAAGGAATGATGCATATTTTCTGATGCACACAGCACTGTATGATGTTACTAAAGTGTTTGCAAGGAATCATGTCTATTTTCTGATGCAAAGAGCATTGTTTCTGATGATACAAACATGAGACAGTGTCTATAAGAGATCATATGTTTTCTGATGCAAAAGAATT